TCATGGAAAGGCTATAAATCTTTATGACTGTACTTCTTACAAGACAGATTTGTTCGTTCTACTGGCAGTCCATGGTATATTCAATATTCTTCACCAATACCATAATTCAAACGCAACAATTCTTCTTCCGTTTTCCTTATTCACTGTCCAGCTCTCACGTGCATGAGGTGATTGGAAGAAGTATAGTCAGTACAGCTCCTTACGAAAAACAACAGCGAGACTTTGTCTTACATACTTTAGACGTGTAATCAGGGGGCACCAGTCCTGGGACAACGACATAAGTGAAAAAAAGGAAGACCCTCAAAGAGTTGGATTGACATAGTAACTCCAACAATGGGTTCAATCATAGCAACGACTGTGAGGATGGCACAGGGCTGGGCAGTGTTTTGTTCTGTTGTACAGAGGGTCACTATGAGTCAGAATCAACTGGACAGAACCTAACAACAACTCTTTACCCAAGTAGACTGCCTCATCTTTCTCCCATGGACAGCCTGGTGGGTTCAGACCACAAACTTTAGGTTAGTAGCTGAGTGCTTTAACCACTGTGCCACCAGGGCTCCCTTTAAAAAAAAAATAAGTACAGACTCTATTGAAAGCAAAAACAAGAAATGGAACAGATATTGTTCCTCCTTGGAGTTTTCACAGCTTTAAAGTAGGGGGAATAATAATAATACAAGACAGGCGATGGGAGGCAGATGACCTGAAACTAGAGGCTGGGCAAGGCTCATAAAACTTCCATAAACAAGCCTGAAAATAGGCACAATCAGACTATGGTTTATACCAAGCTGAGAACCTGGGGAAGCCGGGAGGAAGCAGACACAGCTTCTCAGCTAGAACCCGAGCTAAGCCATGAGGTGACAAATAAACTTATTACACTATATGATTAGAATTCTGAACCATAAAATTAAACTTATAACACTACATGATTAGAATTCTTAACCATATAAGACTTGCTGTAGACTTAAGCATTAGAAAGGGATACGGATAGGAGCAATCACAAAATCAGTTGTAGGCAGACAGGTGGTAGGAGAGGGGAGGCAATAACTCCATTCAAGATGAGTCTGCAAAGTAAAATTCCAAAAAAATAGAACTGATGAAAGAAAAAAAAAAAAAAACAACAAAATCAATCATCAAGAGATTAACTCACTCTATACAAACTGAAAATAGTAGAGGAATTTGAAAATGACTTTAAAAGAAGTTTGGTTGCTGTATTTCAGAAAGATCATAAAGGAATGCTGTTGTGTGCCGTCGAATTGATTCTCACTCACAGTGACCCTACAGGACAGAGTAGAACTGCCCGATACGGTTTCCTAAGCTGTACTCTTTACGGGTGCAGATCTCCAGGTCTTTTCTCTAGCAGAGCCGCTGCCTGGCTCAAATCGCTGACCTTTAGTTAGTAGCTCAGCACTTAACCATTATGCCACCAGGGCTCCTTCATAAAGGGGTAAGAACCACAAAAACAAATGAGAAAACAGTGACCAAAACACAAGACATAGCAAAGGCAAAACAAAAATCAATTTGAAGCCCAGGAAATGAAGAAATAAGTATTTCAAAAGATGAAATAATTTTCAGATTATCTGCAGGCTAAGAGAGAACCGATGAATTAGAAGCATCCTGACACTGACTCAGGATGCCACACAGAGAAACAGAAAGGAAATATAATATGTAGGAGCACTTAAAAGACTTGGATAACAGGCTGAGAGACATGCAGACAAAAAAGGCAATTAAAGATAGCCTTAAATGCATTCATTAAAAAAAAAATTTTAAGCTAGAAAATAAAGTAGGCATTCAATTTAAGAAAACGGACGCAGGGGAACCCAGTAAGCCTGAAAAGACTAGAAGAAATTGAAAAATATATTTTGTGATTACTAGGGTCATTTTTATTTTATTTCCTTTCCATACATAGTACATTAAGTAAAATTCAGAAGTGTCTGTATCCAAAATAGAGCGGAGAAAACATTAGGCACACTAAGCTAATACGCAAACTTAAAGGCACACATTGCTCTCTTCATAAAGCAATGATTAATATTCCAACAAAGAACATTTCCATTAATCAGTAGCCTTGTTTTTGGCTAGCTCCTCTATCTTGTTCAAAAACTACAAGTATTGATTCATTCTATAATGTGAAAATTAAAGCAATATTTTATAGCCCATGTACACCAGGGGGAGCTTTAACCTTTCCTATCCAAGAAATGTCAAGTTAAATTTAACTTAGCCTATCACTGCATACTACTGTTTTTCAACAGCCTATCAAACACAAGGAAAGGCCAAGAGCTAGTCAACATTTTTTTTTTTAGCAATTCCCAATTAAGAAAATGCACTGTGTAAGGAATTCTGTTTTGTTTTAAATAAGGTAGATACACTGAGACATAAATAAGTGGAATACAACAAAAATGATGCTGGAATTGATACCTTATTATTGCTTACAGTATATTTTAGATACACAGATACCTACCAACTCCGACTGCCTATACCACATAGTAAGCACTTGAGTGCTAGCTTGTTCCAATTACCTGTTAAGCAAAATATGGATTTTACTAAGTTTACTTGGTTTCTAATTATTTTCTCGTTTTTCCCATTGTTTATAAGCTCTATGTAGTTTCGTGTTCCTCCCTGACATGCAGTGAAGTTCACAATAAATTTCCATTCATTCACTAAACCAAGTTCAACAAACAGTTAAGAATAATATTTTGTAATAATCATAGAAATACATGTGTGAATTTAGTTTGCTTTAACATAAAATTTTTTTGGTTCCTTTAGTCAAGAAAAATAGGTTATCAGGTGGTCACATAAAACTAAGAACTGGATAAAGATGACTAAGGTCACTGGAGTGGGACAAATACGTTTAAAAGTTATCTCAATCTTTCTTGTATTCTCACTGCTTAACACAGTTTAAGGCAGGGAGGACACACATAATAATCAGTTAACAGACAAAACCGGAAAAAAAAAAAAAAGTGCACGCGTTTTATCGATTGAACTAAAGTCCTCGTAACTCTGATAACACAGTCTCCCTTCCGGAAAGATCCGAAAAAAATGTCGGAATAACTGCAGAATGCAATTAAATGACCTGAGAGTAATCGAAGAGTACCCTTTATAAAACGCGCCTGCCCAATTCCTCAATACAGGGCTTTGTTCAGCTGCCAAGCTCCATGGGAGAAAGGGGTTCGGGGAGTCCGAGAGCAGGATGAGAAAAAAGAAAAAAGTGATTAAAATCATTTGTAGTTCGCCTGTTTACATCTCTAGAGAAAAAACCTTACAACTTAAAATATTTCCGTGAAATCAAGTAAAGCCTCCGTGTTTTTAAAACTGTCCCGCGCTCACTGTCGTGGGGCCTGACAGTACCTGCAGCAATTTCCCCTCAGTTTTCCCTGAACTTCGGGGCGCAAGGCTATGGCACCCCTCGTCGGAGAGATGAGGTAAGGCAGGTTTAAAACAGGTAAAGGTACACGCCCACCGTCTCTAGCCACCGCCACCACGTGGCAGAACCCCAGCTTATTTTCCAGCTCTTCAGAGTCCCAGTTTCCCTCTCCCTTCATCCTCTGCAAACTCACACTCTTCAAACACTAAGAACCCGATCCAAATCCCTAAACAAACGCCGACGATAATAGGCCCACGACCTGAAGAAAGAATAAAGCTACTCTCTACCCTCTAGGCCCCGCCTGCGGACGCACGCCGGAGGCGAGGTTGAAATACAAGCAGCCAATCAGGGAGCAGCTCGGCGCACCACGAGCGCGCGCTCGCTCCAACGTCACTTCCTTCAGGAATTGGATCGCCGCAGCCACTTCCCCAATCCCCACACTCTCCACTCCCCCGGAAGCCCTTGTTGCCAGCCGAGGGCGGCACGGCTCGCGCCCCTTATATTCCCGGAGAGTACCGAAAGGCAGGCGAGCGCCAGCCGCAGTGTCAGGAGCCTTACCTAGCTGAGGAGATGGCGGGGAATGTGAGAGTACGCGCAGAAAGCTTTTTAGAGCGGTGTTTTTACAGCTCCCGAGTCCTCCTTCGGAAACTTCAACTCCCAGAGTCAGGGGCGGTACTACGGAGGTTACGCCTTGCGTCATCGACCTGCGCCAACGCCGACCTACAGTCAGGGAAAGGGGAGGGGGCTTCCGCGGGGCGGAGCCTGGGGCTATACGGTTAGTGGAGCAGGAGGTAGCTGTTAACTGTGGTGTAGTGTTTGTCTCCTACAAGGGGCAAATGTGTAGTCATTCATATATTCGCGCTCGCGCGAATGTGTATGAGTGGATTAAGAACATCCCTCCCTTAAAAATGCAGAACAGTGACCAAAGGCTCTTAATTCTTTGCTTCTGTGTTAGGGATGAGGAAAGCATCTCTTGCATAAACTATTTCTAATTTATAGAGAAAAGGTTGTCACTATAAAAACATGATTTTACACAACTCAAATGAAAAATCAAATTTAAAATGTGAGTCAAATTCACAATAAAGATGCATTTTAGAATTTCTAAGCCTTTTTTTCTTGCTTACAGCCATAAGTCTTACTCTCCATTCATTCCGTGATCTATTTTTCCTGTGCTGTTTTGCAAAACATCAGGCGACATCTCATTGTTTATAATACTTGACCTTACATAATCTTTTTGCTAAATATAAACCAAGTCAACTGAGGGAGAACCGAAACATAATCCCAGATTGTGGCTTCTATTTAGTTTTTTATGTGGCCTTACTTAATAGGTGATTATTGCAGAATGTGAAAAGAAGAATGAAGTTTGAATTTTTGAGAAGAATGCCATCTCAGTGTGGAAAGAATCCTGAAGTAAATATTGATGTTTGAAGGCTTCAGTGCGATAGAAAATTCAGAATGTTGGATTCTTTAAAAGAATTAAATTTCTTCGAGTTTTTAGGCACAAACTTGAAGTCACTCTTGGTTTAAATCCTCAAGTTTTAGTTGAAAAATTATATCAGCAGTAAAACTGTTGTGGATCACTCTGCTTTTTCATCTCAAACCTAGAAGATCTCTGTTAACTGAGCATCGGCAACAAAGTTTGAATCCATTTCTGATAGTAGGGCATCTTTTTTCAGCTGCCTCCATATCAGGGCAAAGAGTAGCTGAGGAAGGATTAGTAATCGGATATGTAGCCCTTCACATGTAGGTCATTAAATTCAGGCTGGTGTAGTGATGTGCTGTATCTTTCAACAACTGTTCGGTTACCACTATGGGATCTGTTTTATGAATAATTATTATTTTTTCTGAGTTAATACTTGGCATCCATAAAGATATATTTAAACCAAAGTTTTTAAATGACAAAAGAAAATTCTCGTATTTTAACAGTGAAGTCAGAATAATTTTGTTTTGAATAGCCACTTAACTTTGTAGTCATACAAGTCTAGCATCATATGATGCTATATTTTAAAATGATTCTGACATCCAAAATGAGCACCAAAAAATTACCAGCAAAAAAAGCAGCTTCAATTTAACCAAACATTGAAGCATATACAAAGTTTGGGACACTGACATCATGTGATACAAAAGAATCATTTTCACTGATTTTTAAAATTTATGTATTTATTTATTTGATACAAATGTATTGAGCTCCATGCTTTTTGCTTTGGTACTGGGTATACAAAGATGACTAAATCACAATCTGATTTAGTCTAGTGGAGAGCCAATGGTAAATAAATACCACACAACACATAATGTACTTGAGATGAGAATAGGGTAATGCTTTTAAGTACTTTAATTTCAAGCTAAGAAAGCCAAGAAGAATCAGTTAAAAAAAAAAAAAAAGATTTGAAAAGTATCTGAAAGGAAGAGTGAACCTCTTTCATCTGTGATCCCCATTTCCACATGCATTTTGAATGGCCTCAAAATGTAGAAAAAAGTAAAAGTTACTTTAAAACTATTTTTAAAAACACTTTACTCCTTCTCTCCCAAGTAATACGTTGAACATTGAAGACTTCAGGAAGATGATCATGGAGTATAGTTACTGACAGTATAGTTACTGTTTGAACCTCCTGGACCTCCTCATAAAAACAGAATAGTTAGGATAGCAAAACAAAAAACAAGAATAAGGAACACAGACCATAGCAACAACATAACTAGGTGTGAAAGAATCCCCACAAACTGCAAAAATATGAGTAGGTGGGAACAAACCACCAACTTAGCATCAGCATTGTGCAGAAGGAAATGGTGGGAAGACAGCGGAGAATCTGAAGGTTCTGAGAATGGAAGAACCCCAAACTGCCAACAGGTATTCACTGAAAAAGAAGAAGGACCAAACTGAGCTGAGTAGTGAGACTGGCATGAGGTTCAACAGATGCTAATTTCAGGATGAGTGCAAAGGTTGTGATAAGCATGAAGGTCTGAAGGTGCTGGAGGGGTGTGGGGCCTATGAACTCTCACAACTAACAAACTGCAGCTCCCTTCTTGGACAAGAACTAAGGAGAAACTGCTGGGAGTAGAACTCAAACAAGAAAATGACAATAAAGACAAAGGAGAAAGCAGGTCCAGCTAAAAGTGGGAGAGGGAAACAGAGGAGAAAGAGCTCAGACATACAAGGATATATATATATGTCATTTTATGAAAACAACAGAAAAGGAAGCTCTAGAACCATAACACTAGAAAAGCAATCCTAGTGACTCTTCCTTCTTAAAGGTACAGAATAACTCGTTTAGCCTAAAATTATACCACAGAAAAAGATCATGGTTGAATCTCATTTGAAGTTGTTATAATAAAAAGGAATATGAAGGAGGAAAAAAAAACTATAACCCAATATTTTAAAAAATTTAAGAGAAAGTCAAAAAATGATACTATATGCAAGAACAACGTAAAACAACAATTAAAAAATCAGAAATAAAGTGATTGGAGAAAAGAAGATTTGAAGAGGAGTGATAGACCTCAGAAGAGAATAAAAAATATAAAAAGTAAACATATTTAAAATCATACTGGAAGTCTTGGCTAGCGCAATAAGATAAGAAAAAGACATAAATGGTATACAGATCGGGAAGGAAAAAATAAAACAGTTTTCAGATGA